CTCGACCTGCCAGACTTAGTGACAAAACATTAATCCGCCATTAAGATACGGATTTGATTGAAAGCATGTCCTCGGGACGAGAACATAAGGAGGAGGATGGTGTAACGGATATCGGATAATGGATTAACTGTAAATATAGACAAACCTAATGGAATAAGAAAAAGCAAGTTGCCGCGGATGCACCATTGTAAGTGCTTCCAAGATTAATATAGAAATATAGAAATTAATAATAGAAAATAGCATTATAGATAATTAAAGTAAGCTAACACGCCCTATAGAACGAGAGTATAAATAACAAATGTAAAATATGAATAAGAGAGTTGGATCTAGACCTGTTGTGTGTGTATGTGAAGTAAGCTCGGCTCGTTACATAAAGATGGTCCAAATTTAATCTGTACCAATTTCCGTGCCAAACCCCTGCGACATGTCGAGTGCGAAATAGATTGTTGAACAGCTAACCACCCAGGCCAGCACCAGTCTGCGAACAAACACCACCACAGGCCCACATCACGACAAGTAGCTTTAGGCTTGCATGGTTCACACTTGTCGTACGAATCTGGGATTCCCTTTGTGCGAGCTAGGACGTTCACTGCATGGTGCGCGAAATCCTTTGTCTGTCGGAAAATGGATACAATGGCAATGGCGTAGGAAGCATCCAGAGGTTGGGGGGGCACCAGCTTCTAGGGGCACTTTTGGTTAATAAAAATGACGGTTAAAATGGTTAATAAAAATATATATATAGGGACGGTTTGATTCAGGAACCGCCGACCGCAGATCATTTTTCGTATTTCTTGGGCTTCGTACTGTTTTGGGGTCCGGGGGCATGCTCCCCCGAGAAAATTTTGAATCAATTTAGGGATTATTGGGAAATAGGAGATACTTTTTTCTTTCTTTTCGCTTCCCAAAAAGGCATTTTTTAACAAAAAGGGCACTTTTATTCCCTTCAAAAATCTTGGGGGGGCACGTGCCCCCAGTGCCCCCCCTTCCTACGCCACTGTACAATGGATCCCTAAATCTTAGGACAAGAGTGAACCAGGTTTACACAGAACAAACTACACTAACAGGTAATTTCAGCTTGCATGCAAATTAACCCATTTGAGATGTTGCAACCATGGATTAGCCAATAAAACTTAACTATTTCAGACCATGTGATTTGAAATGGGTTAATTTGCTACAAGTTGAAAAGGTCTTTAAACACACGCCTCCAGCGAAAGGGATATATATGTCTGTCAAAACAATATCTCAGGAAATGAATCATTAGAATAACCTTGATTTGCATAGCATAAAAAATGGACAGGCTGGCTACGCCACTGGATCTCGCAGTGTCATCTGCATTGGATCGCGCGGTGATCGTACGTTTGTGTTACGTTGCGGTATATGACTTGACACACTAAAAAAGCGCGAACTTTATACTAGTCTGAAGATGGCGTGAAACTGATTGTTGGCCTATTCTATACCATGCAAATATTTAGCCTCCGCCTTCCGGCTATTACACTTCCTGATTTTCTGGTTGACTTGTTACATGCAGTTAATATAAACACTCAGTTGTGTTGCCCAAGACGATGGAATCCGATGCAAAAGCTTACGAAGAACTGAACCAACCGCAATACGAAGCTGGTTGTAAGTTTATTGATGAAGTGAATCTCTCCTCCGGGGCCAAAGTGCTTGATATGGGCTGTGGTACGGGAAATATCACCAAATACATCGCTGATATTGTTGGGTCTTGTGGTCAGACGGTGGGAATTGATCCTGATGTTGAGAGAATCAAAATAGCTCAAGAGAAATATCAAAAAGTTAATAATCTTCAGTTTCATGTTGGTGATAGTGTCACTGGATTCCCAAACGATAATTCGCCATACTATGACGTTCATGTAACAATGAATGCATTTCACTGGTTTCCACACGAGCATAAGAAGATTTACATACAGAAAGCCTACCAATCTTTGAAATCTGGAGGAAAACTGGTTATTTTGTGCACAGATAAGATAGGCGCTAAACAAGCTGATCAATCCGACGTACTTGGTATCCATTATTTGACAAAAGATGAAATGAAAAAGCTATTTCATGAAATTGGTCTGTTCAGTGAAGTCGTGATAAGCCAGACCTTTCTAACAGCTAATTTCAAGTCGTATGAGATATTGAAGCGTTGGATAAAAGCATCATCCCATCATGAAATCGAGGAGTTAAATCCAGCTGATGTGAAAGAAATGATGGCTCAAATTGCTACTTTTCACGACGATGGCAGTATCGTGTTGAATGTACCGTATCTTCATATCACCGCAATTAAACAATGAAATGCATGACCGCGTTAACATTGCTCATTAAATATATTTTTAATACGTATGTGACTTCCACCATTATTCGTAGTTTTACTCGTCTTGTGTCCACATAATTTTTATAGCTTACACAGTCTTTGAAGGAATAGCTAATATTTATATGTTAGATTTTTGTTAGTAACTAGCTGCGAGGTCCGGTTGCGAAAAAAACTGTGCTCGAGGTCTCGCAAAACTTGTGCAATTAGATCGAACAAGGTTAATTTTTTTCGTAATGAAAGACTTTATACACTAAAAATGTGAAGCTGTTAATGTTCTGCCATGCAGTGGTTCTGTGGTAGTAGTTTAGACCTAACATGTTTCACAAAATCGTTAATATATCTACAGCCTACAATAATTTATCTTATAATTCTGCGTAACTCTAGTTTTGTCAGTCATTGCCACTTTCTCATCATTTTGAATTCAACCAATGATTAAGTTCAGCTAAATTTTCTAACGACCGATACCGCGAAATACAAATATCTTGGAATTGCAGACTCATTTCTCCTCTCCCCATGCATTTCTCCTTCCAGAAACCGCGGACATGGAATATACGGATTGCCGTAACTAATCTATGAACGCATTAGAAACTGACTCTATAGAGTCTCCAAGCCCTGCGAAAGGCAGGTAAGTGACGATGGCTGCAGATGAGGTTGGATTGAATTTCTATGTTATAAAGGCTAATTGTATGGCATGGATACATTAGATGCGACGGCATATATGACTCTTGGTAAAGCGATAAGCACATCGGAGCTAGCTTCTCGTTTGAACTTCGAAATCTGCACGCACATGCGATCGAGAAAAATTGAGGATGATAAAATTTGGATTCCCTATAAATATAGATGGTCTAAATTTCGTCCGTTCCATTTTGCCAAGATTTTTTATACTCGCGGCCTGTCGAGCGCGAAAGAGATTATTGAAGTTAGCGGAAGTTTGAAATTCTAAACAAGCCAATCAGAGTTTCTGTAGTAAGAGCAAACCGTTGTTCCATGTTTTCTTTAACTTGTCTATCGTTTACAACTTCACGCGGAAAATTGCCCGACGTTTAAAAAAAATCTGCGCCAAGTGACATTGGAAACTTTTTCATCCGTTTTAATTTAACAATCAAAATGAAATACAGTTATTGCGTATGCTATTAATAGTGAAAATACATCCAATTGATTAGACTTATAATTATTATGCAAATGAAACATAATTGCCAATTACCTGTACTTTATTGCAAATTCTTAGCACAAAATAATTGAAATAAAAGTACTGTCGGAAACTCTGAATATATTTTCATAAAACATCAATAATTCCAGATATTAAAATCGTATTTTATTGAATCATAAATGCTCATAATTGAGGTACACTAGGACATCATTAAATATAACTTATTTCAGTTATAGGAAGTAATACATGTAAGAATTATTTACCAAAGTGTTCTTTTCCGTGGCCGATTGCAAATAATGATTTGTTTACAGAGGCCAAAGCGGCAATTATACCTGCACCTACAGCGATAACAATCACTATGAGAAATTATACAAAATTCAAATGACATAGAAATAAAATCATATTTGAGCTGACAAAGCAAGCATGGCTGCGTTTTCATATTATATATCTAGACTTGTTCTCTTCCTCGTCATCTTCAAATTCTCTGTGATAAAGTGCATTTCTGGTCATGATGCGGCAAAAGACTTCAATGATGCGATATTGGGCGATATTTCAGAGGATTTTAGTGATACTCATCTAAGGTTAGCGTCGGTTTTTCAAGTGTAATTATACTTTAATTTAACAATCCTTTAGTCTACATCAACCCTGAAAAGCGTTCGGTAAAAAAAAAAGTCTACCTCAAAAGAAAAATTGCTACTGTCTTAACGGAATCGATTTCACCGTTGCTCCATTTCGCTATAGCCGATGTTCGCGTCGCAAGAATTCTATAGACTGGAAATTTAAGGCCTGGGGAGAAAATTCGAGGGTCTAATTAATCTTGCTTAGTTTAGTTAGACAGCATATGATATCCAGTACACTCAAGGATACAATGGGACAGATAAAGGTTCTTTGAGAACACTGAAAACAAAAACTGAATAGTGTTATTATAAATGAGTGTATGCCACTCGGAATCAGTATATAAATGTTACAGCCTCTCTTTTTGGCCTCACCATAGTGCGTTTTATACTTCATTTTACATAAATGCTGACAAGGTCGGCGGAAGATTGTTAAGCAAGGGGGGGGGGCGTGGTATGCATACATTCACGTTCCACATTATTCGTTCCTTTTTGAAATTGATATTTTTATCTGCAAACAAAAATATATGGAACGTTTGATCCCCCCACTGCGCCGTCCTTATCTGAAGATAAAGTTTAGTGGCAAAAATAAAGTTTAAAAAAACACAAGTAAACCTTTCTAAAACCTTTTACAGAACGCTACCTTCACCGCGAATGTAAAATATAAAAAAATCCTTGTCAACTTTCAACCTTCGGGAACAGCAGCCGACCTGCTTTAATAGAGATCGTATTGAAACGTTTCAGTTTTGTGAATTCAATTGTTTTATACAGTATATATCTAAATGTTATATAATTATACAGTGTATATATGTATAATTATAGACACTTGTTCCGTACGATTGATAAAAATAAAAACGGAGTTTTATCTTCTCAAGAAGTAAAAGTTTGGGTTACGAGCGTAAGGAGTAATAACGCAATAAAGATGACCAAAGAAAGAATTGCTGAATATGACAGTAATAATGATGGACTAGTTTCAATGGATGAATACTTCGTATATATTTATGGTAATGCTGACAACACAGGTATGTTTCCCCATTTTTCAATATACGGCTAGTCGGCTGCGAGTGTAATCGCCTTTGGCCTACGTCACAAAATGTGGTACCAAAATGTAATGTAATACAGTAATCAAAATGTACGAAGCAGTGATCTGACTTTTAAGTAAATAAAACATGAATAAAAAGCCTGGTATCGCGTATAAGGATTGATTTGTATAAGGTCTGACTGACTCTCCGCCAACAACATGCTAACTGATTTGTAGATTTACTTCCGACACAAGAAAACCGCGACCAAATATTACAAAGTCAAGAGCAAGACAAAAGGCGTTGGAGTTACGCCGATTTCAATCGAGATGGGAGTCTTTCACTTGACGAATTAGCAGCGTTTGAAAACCCTGAAGATTATGAGGAAATGAAAGATTACAATGTGGAAGAAACATTTGAAAACTTGGACTCCGACAGGGACGGGAAGGTTTCTCTGAATGAATATCTTGGTAAGCAATGTGCTGAAATCTTTTTACATGAGAGAGTTTCCATAATAACGAGGTATCTTTCCGTTCTACACGTACCTGCTCTGCTTTAAGTAGTATCCCGCAGTGGCGGATCTAGGGGTGTGCAGAATAAATTACTAGTTATTAAGGTGTTTCGACTTTAAAATGAAGTTGTGTAATTTACTTTGCACACTCCTAGATCCGCCAATAGTATACCAGCATAAAATATAAGAATTCACTTAGCTAATATCATTAATTGTGAGTCAAAATGTCAAGCCCTAGGGAGGTTTTGTGACAAATCTACATATTTTTGCTTTTCCGAAACAAGATGAAGTAAGACAAACTTTGGAGAAATGCGCGAAGTTTGCAAAATTGTTAGCAACCCTAATTTCTGTCTTAGCTATGGCATGCAAGCAAGAAAATGTCGAGCAGGTTTTTCTAGTCCAATTCTGTATCGTATTTCTTAATACGAACGATATATCTAGTTTTCGCCTATCAGTGATGCGCGATTGCATAATCTTAGCCGTGGCCTAGTGCAAAAGTATAATGAAAAACAATACACGGGAAACCTGGCAACGAGGATGAAATCTCATGGAAAACAGGCATTTACAAAATCTGCGCCATATTATCTAGTAACTGATTAAAAAACCGAGCTTTCATTAAGTTAACGGGATTTATAGAGAACTTCCGAAAGAACTAGAAAGAGTATACCAAAAGGTTTAAAAATTGTCAGCACCCATGTTAGACATAGGCCTGGAGCCAAGGTTTTCATATCGCTGTGACGCAACCTGCCGGACGTTGTCAAAAAACTGGAACGACAATTAAATACACATTCGCACTATGGGATGATGAGTGTGCTTCCAGCAAGGCCATAACCTATGAAATTCACTGACGTTTTCATGATAAATTTCTTCAAGGTTCTGATGTGTCTTCAAGCGTGGCTGCTGAGGAAGTTGATTTTAGAGAACGTTATTTCAAAATTTTGAAGGACAGAAATAAGGACGGTTTTCTAGATAAGGTACAGTTAGATGTAGCAACGAAAACTGGATAGCGCTATATCTGCCAATTATTGATTTATCAGTTTAAACTGTTGTGTAAATGCTGGGAAATTAATAAAACCACAGCTTTCAGTGAGCTAACAATTATTAAGGACGATCCCTAATTTAAGAACACTAAGGTTTATCTAAAGTTATACCGAACAATAGGCAATTTTAGAGCAATTGAAGAAATGACTATTCGGTGGAAGGAACTATCCTGCCTTCGTAATGCCTATCCAAGAACAATTATTTTTTCTGAAGTGAAGTGTTCTTCATTCAACCGTTGTCTCAATAAATACCTCTAAAATACTTCTCAAAGTTAATCTTAACTCTCTTGTTGTTTTAGGTGGAGGTCAAGAAATGGCTTCACCGATCATTTCCATCGCGGATCGACATTGAAACGAATGGTTTTATGCAACAGATAGATAGAAATAAGGTGAAGGCGACAGTGGGCATGTAAAGGCTCGTTTGCACTTGCGATTTTTGGTGCGATTTTATACGGGATTTTCCTCTTTTGATATAACAGAATAATTACTCGTTCACATCTATCAAAAGAAGAAAATCGTTCATAATATCGCAGCAAGTATTGCTAGGCGGGCCTTTACAGTCCAATCCAGTTATAGTTTGGAGGTTTATTTCAATCCCAGCTTACTCCTGAGTCCTGTCCATGCTGTTTGACATGCCTTGGAGGTATGCCTCATTTCAATAATTATAGCTGGCAACATTCGCGTGAAGCTTTATAAGTTTAGCATATTTTTGCATTAGTGTATTACTGATAAATTATCTTTCTAATTTTGCACTGTTTTCTTGCAGGATGGATCTTTAAACCAAGATGAAATACTCAAAAATTGGGATAAGTTCAAGACGTTTTATCCCGATTTACAGAACACGTTACTGGAACATGATGAGCTATAATATAAATAGAATTATTTAAAAGTGCATGCAAAAAGAATAGCGAAGTTTAAAACGCTCCTTAAGTCGAGTTTGAAAAGCAGAGGCAGCGAAAGATCGTTCGGTTGAGGGGGGGTATTCATATATCCATGTCAGAAGACAGTAAAAACAATCAATTTTCAATAGAAACTATATAATGCTGAACGTAAATATATGAATATTTCTCCCCTCCCACTTAACGATCTTTGCGACCCCTGAAAAGAAAGTATTTGCTCGTAATTAACAATCATGAAGGCAGGCATTTGATCGATAATTTCATTTGGCATAATTATGCGTGTAATTTTAATTCTTCTAAGACTTTCAGTATTTAAGTCACGAGAAGGTGATCAACGAAAGTGCAAAAATCAATGGCGACCAATGAGAGTACCAACTATCAGCGTGGCGTAGCCAGCCTGACGATTTAGTCATGCTATGCAAATTTTTCATTATTATCATTATTCATTTCTTTAGAAATTCATTGTTTTCGCAGTCAATGAACAACAAAATATTACCATAGCATTACTAAGTTGTCGGGCTGGCTACACCACTGACTATCAACTACCAAGCGGCTGTGACATAAAGTACACGCGATATCACTGATCTGCAAATAAACTGGAATGTGGATTGGCAAATAAAAACTGGGCCATGCATGAGGCCTGGTTCCCATAATCCCATTTTGTCTTTATAGTGGCTCAGCTAGCCTGGACGATTTGGTCTCACCATTCAAATTCCAAGTTATTACATTGGTTGTTTTCGCCAATTTCAGTCAATTGAATTTGCAATGTAGTCGCAAATGTCTCGAGCAGGTTATTTTCTCCGATGTGAAATAATGGGAATTCTTCTTTATTCTATGTATTTAAAATGCCAATATAGACTGAAACATCGTAATACCTCACCACAGTGACATGTTATATTAGCTACATAATTCGTTGTAATTTGTCGCCGTAATTTGTGGTAATTTGTTACAATTCGGTTTCCATATGCCAGCCTTTACTCCAGTGACAACAGTATGCTAGTTTTTTTGTGTCAAACTGTCAATGACAGTGTCAAAACAATACATCATAATTAACCAAGAAATATCTCAGCGATCAGTAAGACTGAGTTCCTATACTATACACAACAGATGCTATTTAACATCGATCACATGTCACGGAAGCGACAGGCAGTGACTGAATGCAAACAAGGATTCATACAACACCAGAAATCGAGGCAGAGTGAATCTGAGTGATAAATTTTTAAGTAATATGGATGCATGTCTAATGTCTGTGTAAATATATAAATTGGAATCCGATACTGGTGACCAGACAATAGCAGTCTACCATAAATATGCGAAAGCATTACAAATTTATATGCCCGTGTCCGATTTATGCACTTAATCAACTAGACACCCTTATCAGCGACACGTCATACGGTTTTCCCCAGATTTCTAGACGTTTATTTACTCGCCCCAGACTGCCTCAGAGTAAGACAAGGGGCCATTCAAATGAGTTGCCAACGTGGCAATGTTTACGTTTATACCACGTGTTCTACATTGACCAATTGCGTTGCAACATACTCTGCATATTAAACCGAAACACGTAAAATTTTTGTGTTGTTGCTGCTCTTTACTCGCATATTCGTTGTTCTGTGACTGTTGCCTTGGCTATCAAGATGGAGATTCGTTGTCTAGGAATGCTAATGTTGTGTATGTCGATATTGGTTAACGGCATTCCGAGGCCGAACGAAGGGGGAGCGAAGAAACGCGTTCATGAGCAACAGCCGCTTTCAGGTGAGGAACATTACCAGAGTAACAAGCAACACAACGCGGAATACGACCACGAAGCGTTCTTAGGCAACGAACAGAAGGCCACATTTGATCAGCTTTCACCCGAAGAAAGCTTACGTAGACTTGGGTAAGTGGGATGTGTTTTTAGTTCGGCAAATGTTGATCAATTAGGTATGCTGTTTGCACACCGAATGCTCACTATGCTGTGTTTCATAATATTCGGGCTGGCGCGCAACATTTCGACTTCCACTTCAGTGTTACTGGGCAATACTTTCGCATGTAGTTTAGTAATAAAGTGAAATATATACTTCATACATACACAGAATGTGTATTAAAAATCTAGCAGTTTCTGACTATTCTCTTGTTTTGTGTGTTTAAGATTGAATTTAATCGATTATTCTTCTATAAGAGCGCAAATGGGCAGCAGTCTGGCAACTTTTGTATTTGTACGCGCCGGTCAGTAAATACACAATAAAAATGAATTAATCATGCATCATGCATCGCTAACCTAAGTTACATGTGCATAAGGATTATGTGCAGTTTGTGCACCGGATGTGATCATTTTATTCATATAAAACTGCCACAAATTGGCAACGAGTACCGTGGCCGGTGGCATAAACCAAGCAGGCTATACCGCTGTAGTCTCAATATTTATAAGACACAATTAACGGAATATTAAGTTTGGGACACAAGGACAGTATGGTCCGTTATGTAAAGCTTCGTCGTGTGTAATAACATCACTGTAATAGCACCAGAATTCAGAAATATGTTATATGAAACTTTGGCATAGTTAAATCATATTGACATTAATTTAGAGTGTATTGTGCGTGGGTGGAACAAATCAAATGCAACCAGTTTTGTCTGGTCGATATATTAGCGGTGAAAAACCTATTTTATTTCCTGTAAAGATAATGCAACCTGAAATTATAATAATTGCGCATTGAAATATGCCTACCGGCATCTATTATGCTGACTAATGTGCCCTGGACGTAATTACTCCGGCGTCAGTGACGGAGTTGAAAATTCCGAAGGTTTTTTGGGTTTTTTTAATTTTTTTTTCAATCGTCGCAAGTGTGTTTTGGCGCGATAGACAAATTGGTTGACTTGTCATACAGCGAAAGAAAAACCAGTTGAATCCACGATACGAATACATATATATATACAGAGTCCATTGCTCAAAGCGGTATCAATTTAGGCAATTTGTACCTCACAATTTTTGCTGATATCATTCGTCCTTCCCTACCGAAATTTTGTAGTTCGTAGGCATACACTTCTTCCTACCCAGTCAGTTATCTTTTTATTTCCGTTGGGGAAGTTGCGATATTTCGGACTTTTAATTCATGACCTAAAGGTGGTGTTATATCATCTCGCTGCATGCAATGCAATTCTACTTTTGATAGATGTAAAGTTGGCAACTACGAACTCATTGTGAAAAACTGTGCTCATTATTCAATACATGCAAACATTTCGTCACTAATTTACATCTCTCGAAAGTAGAATTGCAATTGTAGTTGCGAGAAAAGTTGCGTCATGTAACACGACCTTAATTATCATTAAAAGCGTGAGTTTAGCGCCCTTTTTTCCACCAAATAAACCCAAGGATTCTATTTTTCTTCATAATGTAACGTAATGCATGTAATCTTTCCACTTCATATTGCACAGAATTCTTGTGGACAAGATCGATCGTGATGGCGACAAAAAGATAACAGAGGAAGAACTGAAGTTCTACATTGATCACACACAAAAGCGATACATTTATGAAGATGTTGATCGACAGTGGAAAGATCTCAATCCAGATAACAAACCTTCCATACTCTGGGGAGAATATGTGAATAGAACATATGGCTTTGATGTTGGTAAGAATAAAATCAATTAGGCGATTGAACGAGAATCTATTTACGTTTCTCAGATCTGGTACAGGAATGTATATCTTGTAGTGCTCCAAGTATTTCGGTCACTTATTTGCAACAATTTTTGTTTCAAATTCATTATTTGAAAATTTATTTTATACTGGAAATTCATTTATGTATGCCAACTACTGTAATTGCATCACAGGATATGCTCGACTAGGTAATATTTGTGTTAGCATCAAATGGTATAATAACTGCCATGAGTGTCATACTAACTCTCTTAACGAAGGCCTTCAGGTCGAAACGTCGAGAAGTGTTTTGTCTATTTAGGCAATTGTTATGCCACATTTGATGCTATTACAGGTTAAATATCTTTTATATCAGTTGAGGAATCACCCTGCCTTACTTGTATAAACTTGACCGGATTCAGAGGATTCAGAAGTAACTTAGAAATGCAATGGAAAGAGTTTAGCCGGGCCTTAGGGCCAATGAAACTCGAATGATGAGTTAACGCTTCACAACCAAGAAGTGCATGTGTTGTAAATAACAGTGGCGTACGGGAGACGATAATTGGGGGGGGGTCCAGATATTCATATATTCATGTTTTGCAAGATTAATTTCTTTTCAAACCCATTGTGTTTAAAGGCCTGTTAACATGAATATGTGCCCCCCCCTCCCCCCAATTATCGTTTCACGTACGACACTGGTAAATTAACAACTTTAATCGTTTGTAGATGATCCACAGAGAAACACGGAGTTCAATTACAAGGATATGAAACGAAGGGACAGAAGAAGGTGGGAGAAAGCCGACCTTGACAACAACGATAAGCTGACCAAGGATGAACTGACGTCATTTTTACACCCAGAAGAGATTGATCACATGAAAGAAATCATGGTGGAGGAGACGATGGAGGATATTGATAAAGATAAAGACGGGAGAATTTCGTTAGATGAGTATATCGGTGAGAAATGATTTTGACGACAATATTAATTTGCATTTCTTTTTAAAAAGTTATTTGAGGGTTGTGAATATGGATATAGAGTGTATAAGTATTGGCCTAATGCTGACTACGCCACTAGTACAATGATTTATTAAGACGGAATAGTCGGATGCATTGTCTCCACCGACTGCACGTGTATATAGACCCTTGTATGCATTGTCTCTACTGTACGTGTATATAGCCAAGTAAGTTTAGGACTATGATAGTATGCGCACTGTACTAAATTGAATTTATTCTCGTTCAGGCGATATGTATTCGGAAGATGAACGAAAGAACAATGCTGAAGAACCTGATTGGTTAAAGACTGAGAAAGAGCAATTCACAAGATACAGAGATAAAAATGGTGATGGTTACATGGGCAAGGTAAGC